AGCCACTGATCATGTCTGCAATTCTTTTCAGGGGTTCCAAGAAACCAGGCGGCTTAGGGATGGAGAGATTACAGTCTACATGGGCAATGCTACGAAAGTAGCAGCAGTTGCAGTGGGAGTAGTTACTTTAGTATTTGATGCTAGTATTTTGGTTTTGAACAATTGTCTTTTTGTTCCAGGTTTTAGGAAGAATTTAATTTCAGTTTCTAAACTCGTTTTGAATGGTTATTCAGTTTCGTTTAATAACTCAGTTGTTATTCGTTATGGTAATCATTTGATTTGTTCTGGTTCAATGGTTGGCAATTTATATGTTCTAAAACCAAAGTCTCCCACACTGCAGCAAAATGAATAGAATAATGTCTCGACTAAAACTAATAATAGAAAAGAGTCTTCGATGAATCAAGCATATCTTTGGCACCTTAGGCTTGGGCACATCAACCTTAGGAGGATTGAAAGGTTGGTATCTACTGGGCATCTTGGTCCAGTAGAAGATCATTACCAGACTTGCGAGTCCTGCCTAGAAGGTAAGATGACCAAGAGGCCATTTTCAGCAAAGGGGGGAAGGAGCCAAGAAGTGCTAGGATTGATTCATTCTGATTTGTGTGGTCCTATGTCGATCCAAGCTAGAGGAGGATATGAGTATTTCGTCACTTTTATTGATGATTATTATAGATATGGGTACATTTACTTGTTGCACCGCAAGTTCGAATGCTTTGAAAAATTCAAGGAGTATAGGACAGTTGTGGAGAAACAACAAGGTAAAAGTATCAAGTGTCTTCGATCTGATCGAGGAGGCGAATACCTGTTTGGAGAGTTTAGGACATACCTATCAGAAGCAGAGATTGAATCACAGCTGACTGCAACCGGCACGCCCCAGCAGAACGGGGTTGCAGAGCGAAGAAACAGAACTCTTATGGAAATGGTTAGGTCGATGATGAGTTATTCGAAGTTACCAGATTCGTTTTGGGGATTTGCATTAGAGACAACATGTTACATTCTGAATACAAAGTCAGTAGACAGTACTCCTTATGAGTTGTGGAAAGGGTGCAAGCCTAGTTTCTCACAAATTAGAATTTGGGGTTGCCCTGCACATGTCTTAGTGCAAGAAGCTGGCAAGTTGGAGAAACGATCAGAAGTGAGACTATTTGTCGGCTACTCCAAGAAAACGAAAGATGGTTTATTTTATAGTCCTGAGGATCAGAAGGTGATCGTTAGTACAAACGCTAGATTCTTGGAAGAAGACTATATCATAGGTCATAAGCCCAGTAGTAAACT